TTCAATACCTTCATGATTTTTAAAAATGTCATTAATATGAAATATCCCTCTAAGTTTATTATCTGCATCTTTCAACACATAACTGTTCAATCGATTCTGATTTTCGATTCTGTATGGACCTTCAAACATTGGTTGTAATTTCTTACAACGATTTTCTCTCAAATTCCCTTGTCTAAGTAAACGAATTAAAACTTTGTCTCCTTTTTGAAATTTGATTGGTTTTTTAATTGTTCTATTTTGTCTTCTGATGTATTTTTCAGCTTTCCTCAGAATTTTTCTGTTCACCCTTTGCATGACTTATTTGAACATATCTTGGGTATATCCACTAATCAATTTCCTGCTCCCTATGTGACCAAACATTAAATATTCTGGTACTTCTTCTGTATTTAAATTATGTCTATTATTTAAAAAGTATTCCACTTGTTCGATATGTTCCTGCCATGTCATATGTTGATCCTGGCATAGTATCCTTAAATATTTTATAACTTCTGTAATATATCTTTCTGCAGGATTTGCTTGAGGATGTCTGATACTTGTAAAATGAACGTTGATCCCCTTTTTCTCACAAAATGTCTGAAATTTTTGGTTGTTAAAATATGTAGCGTTATCTATTATGCAATTTTTAAATGGTCCTATTTCTGCGAAAAACTGATGATTAATATGTATATTATTGTATATTATAATTTATATATGTATATATGTAAGAATTCTACAGTTTCTTTGATTGAAAAATATACATAAAACAAACGGAAACTATTTTATGTATATTATTATCTATGAAATAAACAATTTCATAGATATCAAAATTATTTTTTCTCCGCACAATATGTATTATATTTTATTTCTAAATATAAGAAATAAATAGAAGATAAAATTACGTTTGCTGACGTTTCAATTTCCACTTCGGAAATCGTTCTCAAAATACAAACTGTTTGTATTTTGAGAACGATTTCCGAAGTGGAAATTGAACGGTCAATAAACGTAATTTTATCTTTAATTGTGGCTTATTCCCAGTTAAATAGTAATTAATTTACAATGCCACAAGTAAATATCTTCAGAACAATATAAATAGAAGAACTATAAATGAGTTTGTAATGGAATTTATTTGCAAAAACAAGCTTAATATATTAATGTACTTAGAATCCTAAACTCTGTTTTATCCCATTCGTTGTTAACGAGTGTTTGTAATCTATTCTACTTTGTCTTAAAAACAATGTCTCGATAGATCCCTAGACAAGAAATGAGTGTCCATGTTTTATACCTATCTTATCCCTAATAATTATTTTAACGCTAAAATTTATAATGCTTATTAAGTTTAAAATTTATATTATTTTTTTATATTATTCTAGATATCTCCCTTATGCTAGTAAGAGAATATTAGCATGTTGTGACTAGCTTTATGGCACTTGCTATGCCAAGTTAAAAAAAAGCTGTCAACTTTTTTGATTATTTCTCCTAAGAAGTCTTCTGCTAAGCTACTCGATCCAGCCAAGAGTAATCCAAGCAGTCTTGATAGATATAAAGTTACGTCAATTAGTTTTCAATATATGTAATGGTAATTCATACAAAAAAGAAAAATATGCAGAGTGTGCTGTAAAAGAGCAAATTATATACTTGTGACATTAAAAGTGTTACACCTAGAAGAAATAATGTTTTATATATATAATAATGTCTGCTTGTGGCAACTCTTTTTGAGCAACTTAAACGTCATGTATTAACTGGGGCAGACTCTGCGGATAATGGTGCAAAATGGACAGTCTCCTTTCCATCATATCTCATACATGTTCGATAGAATTTAAATCTGGAGCACTGGGCAGGCACGACAGAACATTAACGCCAGCTTCTTGGAGAATGTCCATAGTTTGACGAGCAATATGAGGACGCGCGTTGTCTTGCTGAAAAAGGACGTCTTAAAGGCCGACGAGATAAGGCAGTAAAGTAGTTTGTAAGATGTTATTAACATAACATCAGTTATCATATAAACACAAGTGGTGATCAGCTACCCTAGGCAATAGCCCCCCAAACCATTACTCCAACTGTGTTATGTACATGTTTCTCAACAGTAAACCAATTATTTCGTCGCTTTCCACGGCGGCGTCTTACTATCCTACGACCCTCATGCATTCCTAAACAGAATCGTAATTAATCGCTAAATGCTACATTACGCCATTCTTCTACCCAAGGATGCCGTTTTCTGCACCAATTAAAATAAAGCACTCACAGAGCCAGTAATTTAAAGCGCCTATCTTGACGCTCTGTGGTACGCCTCGGTTCACCAGTTGGTGTTCTTCGTGTACCTCTACCTTTTTTCACACAGGACATACACTTATAACCGTCATGGACGAACAATTTACACGATGGCCAATTTCGCGATATGATAAACCCATATCTCTATACGCAATAATTCTACCCCTTTCAAAATCGCTAATATCGTGGTAATTTTGGTGTCTTCGAATTCGAAACAGTTTCTTACACTGAATACAATTAGACTGAGGAATAATAACTAAAAATTTATATACGAACCGGTTTTTACAAATCGGTCACTCCACAAAAAAATTTAAAGATAAAACTTTATTTTTACACAAAGTAGAAAAGATAAATCATTAGTATTTTTATCATAGCACGTTTTAATAGAAAAAGTTAAGTTCAAGAAATTATTCCTTCTAGGTGTAACAATTCTAATGTCACTGAGTATTTGTTCACAACAGCGTGAGCTTCAACTGATAAAAAAAATAATAGTAAGTCTCTAAGAAACGAGAGAAAAAATCTAAAATTAGAAAATAGTAACAAAAAGAAGATATTGCTTAAATTAAAAGAAAATGTTACATATAAAATACTGCTGCGGTATACCAAAAATTTTACCCAACTATAGTAAAACCTTTAAGTACCACGGAAACGTTTCTCTTTTGTTCATAAGTGCATTTTGTGAGGTTATTAGCCTCCCTGTTTGAATGAATTTTGGTAGGTATATAATTATTAAGTATTCAAATCCGTTTAATTCTGGTGCTTGACCGTTTTGGCGAAAAAGTTAAACAGGTCTGATGAGTGTTTTTGTAGCTTTTCAGCTTTCCTGCATTTGCATGTTTTCTAATAATAGGAGCCAGCGGACGTGTATATTTTAATGGCTGAGCTGTTAAAGCACTGAAATTTTACTTCGAAGACAGGGTTGGACTAAATCTAATAAAAAATGAAAATGTATTTTTTCTAGAGAATAATTAATAACGACAATTTAATTTAGAATTAAATAAAGATATTACCATATTGGTGGAAAAAATTAGTGAAAGAGAAGATAAAAACAAAGAAGAAGTATATCAAAATTTATTACAATAGGGAGACGAAGAAACAAAACAAAAATATAAAAACTTGAATAAAAAAGTCAAAAAAGAAGTGGTTAAAAAGAAAAATAGTGCATGGAAACAAAAATGCCAATACCTAGACAACCATATAGGAGGAACAAAGCGATGAAAACAACGACAAAAAAACCAAGTCATAATAAATAGAATACCAGAGAACACATGGGTAGAGCATTTTGAGAACTTATTAATAGAGAGAAGAGAACGGTTTAAACAGAAAAATGAACAAGTGGAACTAGAAGGAAGAATAGAAATATCAATAGAAAAAGTGAAAGAAGCAGTAAAGAGAATGAAATTAAAAAAATCTCCAGGCCCAGGTGGAATACATCCAGAGTTGATTAGGTATGGATCATCAAAACTTTTTGAAATAATCCGAAAAAAAGGCACAAAGACGGATCATAAAAACTACAAAGAGATCGCAGTGATTGCTACTATAGGCCGACTGTACTCAAAAGTACTACGAAACGTAATAGAAAATGATATTAAAGACAAACAACCCTAAAAACAAGCGAGATTTAGGGCCGGACGCTCCACTATGGACAATATATTCACATTAAAAATTGCAATAAAAAAACGAGTGCAGGGAAATAGAGAAACCTATATAACTTTAATAGATTTGAAAAAAGCATATCACAGTGTACCGATCTCTCAACTATGGATAGAAATGTGTAGCTTGAAAATAAAGCAAATTCTTATTAACACCACCCAAAAATACTACGAACAAAAATTTGCAAGAATTAAAATGGGACAAGAAATCACGTCTCCCTTTTAAACAACAAGGTAACTAAGGCAAGGCTGCTTTCTGTCACCCACCTTATTTAAACTCTATTTGGACAGATCCTTAGTGAAATGGGTCAAAAAATGTAGAAACATGAGAACAACGATGGAAGAAAACACCATATGTACACTTTTCTTTGTGAATGACTAAGTAGAAATTGCCGAAGACAGCTACGATTTTAGCTATATGGTAAGAAAACTGCAAGAAGAATATGAGGTGACAGATCTAAACATGAATATGACAAGAAGTACAGATGGCCTTGAAGAGTACTGGAAGGGATCCCTCCTGAAAGAAGAAAGAGAGGACGACCACGGAGAAGTTGGCGCAACGATATTGATGAAGCAATGGTGGCAAGAGACTTAGAAGAGGCAACTGCATATGACAGAAAAAGATAGAAATTGGGGGCGGAGAAGCGGCGACAGCCGTAATAAATCCGTTATATACATACGTTAAAATTATTTTCTTTGTACAACTGTTCTTCACTGGGAAGAAAAGATAAAAACGTTTTAATGTTTTCTAGATAATTTAGGTAACTCTGCCCAACAAGCCTGCCATCAAAACGCCATACCATTCCCATTCCTCTAGATAAATTCGATTTCTATAAATCGGCGCTAAAATGACCAGGTGCTCTATAGATATTGTAAGTCTTGATTGCTTATGTTGTTCCATACCTTTTGGGTCGTTAAGAACCTTGTCATAGTTGTTAGCTCTAAACTAATTATACACTTCACTGAACCATTTTTGAATAGCTTCTTGTGTTACCGCTGACCTTGTCCTGACCTTAGATTTTTAGCAACTCTGTTACTTACTTCAGAATTTAATTTTAAGAATCTAGTAAGCCTGGCTTGTCATCTTTAAATGGATTCTGTTTACTCAGTTCCTTCGTAAGCAACTGAAACAAGAAGAAAACTAAAAAATTTTTCATTGAAATAATATTGTAATATTATTTCAACTTTTAGTATCTGAACACTGCTCATAAGCTGCTGTTGTTGTATAGGAAAACCGGCTCTGGATACATCACTATTCCACTTTACTAAAATCTTCTCCTGATCTTTCTGCAGGTATGGTTCTGGGCCCATTTTTATACTGCATGGAGTTTTGCCTGTTGGTTTGTATAACAAAGTCACTTTGGGTATACCATACTTCTTTGCTGTTGTTAAAACTGGCTTTCCACATAGTACTTCCTCAATAGATTTTTTCATAACTTCTTATGTATATAGTATATATTTTAGTAGTTGGCATCCAAAGTATTTCAATAGTTGACATAGTGTCAACTACTAGATAGAGTTGATACATTTACGTGATATTTAAAATATAAGTATACACATTATATACAATGAAAATTACAATAAAGTATTATGTTTTTACAGTCTCGCTATTAAATGGTTAGTAGTTGACATTTATGTCACCTTCTCGGCGGTTCCACTCTTACTGACTCCCTGGCCCACTTCGTTCGTTTTTATGAACCCGTATTCTTATTTACCGAGGTCGAGCTTTTGCTGACTCGTTTTTTGTTGCAAACTGATATTGATCTCGTGTAATACACTTAAACTAGGTCAAGTTATCATTCTTTGTTTAATTTAAAATGTATACGTTATCTATGTCGAATTATTTGTTATTTATTCAATTTGGGATATATAATAATTATTTAAATAATTATTACTCTTCTCTAGGCTACTACCCCTTATTTTTTTTCTTTATTTTCTTGCTATGTTTACATTACAGAGCCTAAATTTTGTTATAAGAATAAAACAAACTTAAAACATTAGCAAGGTGTTACCATAAAATGAAAAGTGTCAAGTACTAGTGCCTTAAGTAATTAAAAGCAACAACAACATTAAAACAGCTTTAAAATGTACTTTACATTAACAACAATGGGTCATATTGTTTCTATTACAATGTCAGATAGACAAACAGTTCAGTGGCCAAAGGATCACATATTGGCTTGTTTACTGGTCAGATACGTAGATACACAGATAAGCAAGCACGAAAACTTAAATCGGTACAAAACACAAAGGCTGATGACGACGATAAATGTGTGACTTTCACTACTGTAGACAAATACAATAATATAATAAATACTATACTGTTGGTAAATACATTTTGGACAGTATAGATCTGCCTTTAATGGTTGCTTTAAATGTTGTGATGTTCTATAAATATAAATAATTTCTTATCCTCTTTAATTTGTCTGATAAAACCTTTACATTGAAAATCATTTATATGCGATTATACACCCTTTTTAACACAATTCTTAATGTTTTTTTTTTGTAAAAACTTCATCCGGAGTGAAAATCGATACGTTAAATTTTTAGTTAAAAATGTAATTTTCATTACAATAAATAATTGAAGCTTAATTCGATATAAACACATTTTCTTTAATTTTATTTTCTTTTAGATATTTTTTTAAAAATTGCCACAGAAAAGTACAACTCTGTACAGAATTAAGGGGGCGCGATATTTATTTTTCTCAGGGACTAAACAGATTAGACAGTATTGTTTTAAATGTAGATTTGGTGGACCTTTTCCTGTATAACCAGATTAGGATATTTCGTAAAATAGCGAATGTACGAAGGAGCTCGGACCATTTCAACGCCTAATGAATCAAAACTTTGTTCATTAGAGGAAATTACGAATGTAAAACAAACGGTTTGCGTTGTTAATTCTCGCGTTTGCCACATAAATGTTATTTTAAAATTATAAAAATACCAAAAATCTCATGCTTTATGTTTTATTTTTGGAATAATTGTATAGACCAATAACTTCGTTAAGTGCCCTCGTCATTGATTAAAACGTTATTATTAGTGAATACGCTTACATTTTTAGCTCCTAGTATTTTCTTATTCCCGGATCTCTTTTGTTTTCCCAATCGTTTACTTTATTATAAGACGTATTATCAAATATTATTGTAGAACCAATATCGAACGTCATTTATGAGAATCTGTTTCATTCGATGAAAAGCTGAACTGAAATTTTCTAGTTACGCTTGTATTTTGGTTTTATGGTTAAGATCATTCCAGATCGATGGATTAGGAATACTAGATATATTTTTAGATGAATAGTGATTAGAGCAGATTAGGGCATTCTATTGCAAAAAAAAGAAAATATATGTGAATGTAAGTAAGGTACTAATTGTAAAGCTATAAACCAACAATACAATTTGCTTCTACTGGACATTGAAGTTAGAAGATAAACTAGAACAAACTAATAGAAAGAACAAAAAAAAACCATAAGAAGAATATTATAAAATCAGAAGAACGGTTTATTAACATGTTTTTTGTTGTTTGAATGTAGTATAACAACATTGTTCCTTTTAACGTTCCTTTTATTAAAAAGTATGTTGATGACATTATTATGTCGTGTCCACTAAGTGTAAAAACTGAGCTAGACAATTTTAATAGCTCTGACCCCCATAGTCAATTTACTCTTGGAAAATAGGATCAAAACCAATCTGTCCCTCTTCTCGACACAATGTTCACCAGAGAACTGGGTAACATCAATATAATTGATTGGTATAGAAAAAAGTGTAACTCTGGAAGATATCTCAAATACCACTCTTACCACAAGTCAAGCATGAAAATTAATGTGGTAAAACAAGTGACCACAAGAGTAAACAAGCTCTCAAAATACAGGTGCTATGAAAGTTAGTTCAGATTCCCACTCACTGACTAACAATATTCATAATATATCTTTTGTATCACTTTTATTTATTAAGGACGTCTCTCCCAAATTAACCAGAATTTTTGCTCAATACTGTCCAAATGTCAAAATTGCTTATAAAAGCTCTCTAGTTGTGGGATCTTTGAACACGTCATTGAAAGATAAAGTACCAAACTTGGATAAAAGTGACGTTGGCCAAAAACTTAGTTGTTTAGGCTGGGAAGATTCTTATATAGGTCACACCTCCCAAAAAGTTTCCAGTTGTTTGACTCTTCACAAGAGTGACATTAGATTACACCCTGATAGTTGTTCCCTAGCCACACATGCTAACACAACAGGGCACCCTTTCGATTTTCCAAATGTAAAAATTATATCCACGAAGAGCAGTTATTCAAAAAGATTGTTTCTGGAGATGGCTTTCACTTTTCAAGAAAAAGAAACCATTAACAAAAAGACAGATACAATTTAAGCAACTTATACTTATTATTGTTAACTTAATATAACAACGAATCTACTAATAAAGGCAATTTTTCGTCAACAATATAAGTTTTATTATATATAGATGTATAGATGATTTTATTATATATGAGAGATACAATATCTCTCCTACTTCTAAAGTAAGTCTTTTTGCTTTTTCTTTTTCAAAAAGTTCAGCGTCTATCAGGTATACTATTATCTTTACATTATTATCATTTTAAGAGCCAACGTTTTGTCATTTTAGGTTGGTAGTAACGAATTCACAAACATGCTCTGTAATTATTTTATAACATAATTTTATTTAAATGTTTATGTATATGTTTATGTATGTGTGTTTTTAAGTTTTTAAATATGTATTTGTTAAAGAAAGTTTTTTCAAACAATTTTTAATAGTTTTCGCTAATATTTGTAGGGGTCAAATGAGTTGCCCATTTCATTTTATAAACATCACGACAACTAACCTCAATTAGTGTAAGATGCAAAACACTTCTTATTCTGTAATTTGTACAAATTTTATGTATTGTTTTGTTTATTGTAGCACACTAATGATGCAGATAAAGATTTGCGAAAGCTTGGTAGACTAAAAAGATTATTTATTTGCCCTATCTTTCGCTGCACACCCAAATATTTGTGTTTTGTAGCCTAACTGATCAGCGTTGAACACAAGCGTTTATCGCTTTTTTGATTTTTCAGATTTATATATATATATATATATATATATATATATATATATATATATATATATATATATATATATATATATATATATATATATGATCTCCTTTCCCAAGGTCATATGCTCCAAGATAATATATATAATATATAAATATATATATATATATACATATATATATATATATATATATATATATATATATATATATTACATATATGTATATATATATATATATATATATATATATATATATATATATATATATATATCGATACATTTTTAGCAAAGTAACGTAAGTGACCTTTTTGGCGAAAATATTGTTTTTCAATTTTCTAATAATGCTATTACTGTTAAAAAGGCACTGAAAGAGTGTAGTAAGCCTAGAATTACTTTAAACCTTTTTTAGGACAAGTAGGACAAGTTTTTTCAGTCATAATTTTCAGTCATAAATAAGTTTAAGCAGGTTGAATTAAAAAATTGTTTTTTCTACAAATCGTTTTTGGTGACTTACGTTACTTTGCCAAAAATGTATCGATATATTACATATATACTTTACGGTTTGCAGATGATCAGGTGATGATCTCAAATGACAAAGATGGCATGGAATACATGCTTAGAAAACTAATTGAAGAATACCAGAAATGGGGATTAAATATCAATTTAGGAAAGACAAAATTCCTCTCAATTGGAGCTGAAGCAGAACAACTCGATATCGATGACAATCAAAAAATAAATCCATGCAACGAATATAAATATCTGGGCGTCATCTTCGACCGTAGTGGAAAAGACGAACGAGAAATAGAACATCGAATTGTACAAGCACGAAGAGCTATAGCATGTTTGAACTGAGTTCTATAGAGTAAAAAAATATCAAAGAAAAGAAAATGGAACATCTATGAGACAATGGTTAAAACTATCCTACTTTATGGAGTTGAGACATGGAGAATAACCGAGAAAGAGCCGACAGAATACGGAATGAAGTGATAAAACAACAAATGGATATAGAGGGCACTATAGTTAAGGATACTGAGAGAAAACAACTCATATGGTATGGGCATGTGAGCCGAATGGGGGACGAAAGATTGAACGAAAAAACGATGATGTGGCAACTTCCAGAGAAGAGGAAACGAGGAAGACCACCACAGAGCTGAAACCTGGGAGTGGGAGTTAGGAAAGCGATTAGCGCTCGAAATCTGGACGAAGACCTAACTCAAGACTGAATACAGTGGCGTTTGGGAGTCGGACAACGCCGTAAGATGTTATAAAACCGAATATATATATATATATATATATATATATATATATATATATATATATATATATATATATATATATATATATACAGGGTGGCGAATCGTCAAACGGGCCAAAGGAAACTCAATGGGAAAT